TCATAGCTCTTAGTAACTTCCTTTTGCTAATACCTGCTGTTGAAGTCTTTTTTATCATATAAACTATTCGAGTCTTGTTTTTTTAAATGGTCCCTATGTCCATAAATCGACCGGTCTTTATCTGTAGTTTTTGAAAAACTTCATATATCCCACTAGCTCCATCATTAAACTCTAAAACAGCAGATGCTACAGCTATTTCAAGAATATTTCGACTTACATAAACATCTTTAGGACATTTTTTTAAAATGAAATTGTTAATTGCTTCATTATTATTTTGTTTCTGTCCATGCAAACATTTAGATAATAATTCATCTCTATTCAAGTCTTGAAAGATGGGTTTTAAAATTTCATTTATTGCTAATGGAATATTTAATTTAGCTTTGTAAGTTGATTTACCTGTTAGTTTATTTGACTGCCACATGCACCAGCTATTTACATTTCGAGGACAAAATTTGTGTCGTCCAGTTTCACCAAGAATATCTGAGTTATGGAAAAGTGTTGCCCAAATACCCTTTTTTATTTCATAAATGCTGTTAAGAATTTGCCTTATGGCAGTACCATAATAATTCTGCAAAGTATTTATAGCTTTATTACATTTTTGATTATTTGTTGATATCAAAGTAACAACACCATTTATGGATGTGTGACCTCTTTTTTGCCATGTTCCATCAACAGAAACATGGCAATCAACAATACTTGTATTATCACTGATGACATCCATCAAAACAATATCATGTGTCTCTTTTTCAGCATTTGACATAGAAGTATTAGCTGCTTCGACATAAGCACTGTGAAGTAATTTTGTTATTTTACCAAAGTTTTTTTTTGTCATCCGTCTTGGCATATTCATGCAACGATTAAATGATACTATCCAATTTCTCTAAAAGCAACAGCAACTTGTGTATTAACTTCTTTTAATTATTCTTTTAATTTTAATTTCTTTAAAATTCATTTTTTAATTATTGCTGAAGTTTTAAATGTGTCTATAATTTTATCACAGCTTTCACAAAAAAATTTCAAGTTGTAAACAAAATCCCATTTTTTCACAATGTTATCATGCAAAGTAATTTTATTTCCACATTCAGGACAAAAAATATACTTACTAAATATTCTTTTTAATATAGAAAAGTTCATAATAAAGTTATAAATGTTCTTGTAATCTTCATTGTTACACTCAATATTTTGAGTTGTTTTCGTTTTCGAAAATAACTTTTTTGCACTTGAACAACTTGCGATTGGCGATGAAGGTAAACTATTTTTTTGTTTATCATTGCATGTGTACTGGTTTTCTTTAAACTTGTATTTACGTTTTCTAATTGTACTGCGAGTCATTTTTTTGTTTAAAAGTTGCAAACAAATTTGAAATAAAAGTGGCTTTTAGTAGAAGCTTTCAAATATAGTCCAAGTTGTGATTCTAATTTGTAATGTTCAAGCTGTGGAGTTTATCCTAAAGTTGTTTTGAGCACTGGTACAAACATTAAGCAAACAAGATTCTTTTAAGACTGAAGTTTCCTCCAAAAAGCTGGCTAGAAAGTTAAAAAACCAATAATCAAACCCGTTGCTATGGCGGTAACTAGGGAAGCCTGAAAAACTATGGTCAACTAAAACATAAATATTTAAAAAACTAAATTGAATTATAAGAAACTGTTTTCATATTAATAATCTCCGTTAAATTTTGAATAAAAATCAAGTAAAAAAAAAAATTTGAATTTTTTTTGATTTTTAAGGGGATCTGCTACAATTTATATTGAAAACTTTAGTGGATTGACTTTTGATATTATAAAAAATCAGTTTAAAAACAATACCTCACTTCCTAAAGGCATAAAATTTTCTACGGCCTATACTCCATTTTTTCAAGCTTCAAGCTTTTTAGCCAACTGGACTTCTTTTGTAGATTGTAAAACTGGTTTTTTTTGAAGATGTTTTAAGTTATATTAATATAAAAGCAGTGGCTGATATTAATTATAAAGATTGTGCATTAAATATAGATGCAATGGTAACCAAAACATCAGTTCTAAGTGCTTAAAAGGCAGGTCAATTCATAGGCTTTGTAGATTATGGAAAAGATATTGTCGCAATTGAACCAGATACACCAGCTACAGAAGCATTGGTATTTATGCTGGTAGGATTATGAGGTCATTGGAAAACACCTATCTTATGCTGTGTAGTAAAATAACAACTGAAAACCTTTCATGTCTTATTAAAAAAGCATTAACAATTTCTTCTTATAAAAAAATTAATGTAGTAAAATTACATTTGATGGTGTAAGTGTTAACTTTAATTCTGTTGCATCAATAGGATGTACATTTGGGAAAAGACTAGAAAAAATTAATGGACAATTTACTTTTGAAGGCTATTATCACTACTTGTATGTAATCCCTGACCCAAGTCATTTGCTAAAATTAACTAGAAATGTGTTATGTGATTTAGAGCGACTTAAGAATTGTAATTTTTAAATAGCTCTGGATTTATTGTAAGAAGATTATTATAACATAACATGTTCTATGTGTGCAAACTCACACAAAACAATTTTGTGGAATATTCTTATAGAGCATCAATTCTTTCATTGATTAACATAAAAAATAGGAATGTGCTTATGTGCTTATTATAATAGTATATGAGAGCGTTTTCAAAATTTATGTCAGCAATGACAATTTCAAAAAACCAAAAATGAATGTGGAGTGAAATCTTAAACTGAAAATGATTTATGCAGTTAATAAAATTATAATTGAAAAACATTTGTTTTTAAAGACCTAAATGAACACGATGCTGACCATGAAGCTGTTACCGAAGACATGCATTGCACACAACTAATAAAAATGTTAGCAAATGACTTTTTTACAATCAGACTGCAAAGATATGGCCAATTATATACAGAAAAGTTGGTCTATATATATATAATGATTGGTCTACGTCAACAATCAAATAAATTAATTTTATTCAAAGGTTTATAGCATATATATATATATATATATATATATATATATATATATATATATATATATATATATATATATATATATATATATATATATATATATATATATATATATATATATATATATACATATATATATATATATATATATATATATATATATGTATATATATATATATATATATATATATTATATATATATATATATATATATGAAAATATTATAAATAAAAATATTAAATTAAGTTTTATTATCTGTTACTTTTCTTGATTTGTTGTTTATATTGAAAAACTTGCTTTTCAAAGGAAAGATATTCTTTATATACCTGAATACCTATAAAGCTTTTTTTGTGTTGAAAACCTTACTTGATTATAACATAATTATTATGTTGAATTAAATTTATTTAATTGACGGTAAATCAATTATAGAAAAAAGTAATAATGATTTTTATGATAACAAGAAGTATTTAACCATAAATAAAATTCTAACATTTCTAGAAGGAACCTCTAAGTTGTGTCACACAGAACTTAGTTAATAGTCAAGACAGTTTTATAAAATGTTTCATTACAAGTTTTAACTCTGTTTACCTTGCAGTTATGTTATAAAACCTCCTAGCATTACTGCAGAGGGTAATTAATGACTAAAAGGTGCATAAAATGTTAATAGATAAAAGATTAAAATCCAACTAAATCTAAGATTTTAGCTTAAATTTTAAAATCATACAAACTTAATTTTTAAAATAAAAAAAATGAAATAAGAATGATTTTGAAGTGTTTAAAAAAAACAACGCATGTTTACATAATTATTAAATTTTAAATCAAAATAAAAATAACATCAAATTTTTCAGATATCTGTGTATCGATTTTTTATTGATTACATTTTTAAACAATTTTAAGCTTCATATTTGTTTTGTTTTGATTAATAGCGTAAAAATCTTGCCCCCCATAATGGCCGATTTTTGCTTCACTTTTTCTTATACCGATTTACGGCAGTTAGACATCTAGTTATTCTTAATATCATTATATCATTGGTGTAATTTAAGTAGGCCATGATAATACACACACACAGACAGGGCTGGCGCGAGTAGGTGTCACGTGGGGGCAGCCATAACAACTTTTGCCGACTTAAAAAAAAAAAAAAGGTCCTCGTTTTCCAAAATTTCCCGACTGTGTTAGACAGTCGGCAAATGTCATGACGACATTTGCCGACTGTCTAACCTATATCGAAAGGGTCGACATTTGCCGACTAATTAGTCTAAAAGGGTCTAACCCCCACACACACCCCTATCGCGCCGGCCTTGCACACACACACACACACACGCACACACACATATATGTATTATAGATATAAATGTATCTATAATACATATAAAGCAAAAAATAATATAAAATATATACTTTTTTTGCTTTATATGTATAATAGATACATTATATATATATATATATATATATATATATATATATATATATATATATATATATATATATATATATATATATATATATATATATATATATATATATATATATATATATATATATATATATATATATATATATATATATATATATATATATATATATATATATATATATATATATATATATTATATAACACAGACACACAAAATATCATTATTTTTCTTTAAAATACAAAGTAATATGTCATATTGCAACATTTCACTTTGTATCTTTTAACAAAATTTCCTCCCTTGTTAAAATTCCCTCACTATAGTGCAGTGATATTTTCGTACACGAGAACGAAAACGAGAACGAAAAAAAAAGCCTTTCGTTTACGAAAACGAAAACTAAAACGAAATTTATTTTAAGAACGAGAACAGAATAAAAACGATAATTTTAAATTTTCGAACGGAATAAAAACTGAATCGAAAATTATTTTAAAACGAAATATTTTCGTTCTAGATTTGAAACGAGTTGAATTATTTGATATATATAATTATTATATTACAATACATTATAATGATATATTATTCGAACTTAATTGAATTTTATTCAATTAAGTTCGAATAAGTTTAGTTATGATATAGATCGAATATATTTATTCGAATATATTTTTTCGAACTAAAAAAAATCAAACTGTAAGACCAACACAACTACGCGATGAGTTTGAGTAAACTTTTTGCTGGTAGGAAGAGGAATAGTTCAGTATGGAAATGGTTGAAATACGATGCGTCATCCGACAAATCAGTATGTTTAGTTTTACTTGATGGTGAAAAAGTATGCAATACAAAGTTGTGTGGAAAGAACCCAACAAATCTTAAAGTTAGTTTATCTGTTAGAGGATATGTTTTCATTTTGAAACAAACGACTCATTTTTATCATTTTAGAGTAATTATTCAATAACGTATACGAACTTATTTATACATTAATTGATAAACAGATAGATAAATAAACATATAAATATACAAACAAAAAATTATATAAATATGTTTATTTTTTTCTAGCTACATTTAGCAAGAAACCATAAGTCTGTACACGTTGAGCTGGAAGAGTCGGAATTAAAGAAATTAAGTGAAAAAAAGCAAACAGGGATAAAGAGAAAAGCAGTGGATGAAAATGGACCCACTCTTTTAGAATCGTCCTCAAATCAGAACCAGACCTTGATTCAATGCATTAATCGTAGGAATACCGCATGGCCTATTAATTCACACGAGCATAAAATTCGACTAAACTCTCTTATTCAAATGATAATTGCAACATGTAATCCAGTGACATTGGTGGATAATGCGAGTTTTAGAAAGTTAGTTAATACCCTGGATTATAAATTTTCATTGCCTGCTTCTGCCAAAATTACTAGCCTACTTAATGAAGAATTTACTGTTTTAACGAGAAAACTTCGTGACTTCATATCTGAAGGCAGGCGCTTCACAGTATGCCTTGATGGCTGGACTAAAAAAGGTCTTACTGCGTCCTTTTTAGGAATTTCGGTTTGTTTTTTTCACTTCAAATCCGAAAAACCAATACATGCTCTGCTTAATTTGTATCTTGTGAAACATCCACGTACAGGTGAACAAATTGCTAATTGTTTTGAAAAATGCCTAAAATATTAAAATATTTCCAGAGAAAAAATATTGCTTGTTATTTCGGACAATGGAGCAAACATGGTCAAAGGCATAAAGTTGTCGAGAATGAAAGCTCAAGCTGAACGTGATATACTTATTGAATTAGAAAGTAAGGTTAATGAAGAGCAGATAACAGATCTGGAAGACGATGAGAATATGACAAATAGTGAAGAGTGGGAACATGTTGACTTGATAGTTGATGTAATAGAAAACGTAGCATTTAGAAGATTGGGATGCATTGCACATGTTATACAGCTAGTTGTAAAACTTGCATATGATGGTAAATATCATGGCTTACTTTTGAAGGTATGTGGATTAGTGGGAAAAGTTCGCAAATCTTCTGTTGCATTGGAAAAAATTATCAACAAATGTCACTTTCTACCACTATAGTATAGTGGTATTTTACTTAATTACACTTAATAACTAAACTCAATTTTCTTTTATTTAAAAACTGAATAGAAAATTGGAAAATATCTTTTAACAATAAATAACCAACAAAAATTTTTAAACAACCATAACAAGCAGACATTTTTAACTAACCGAGTTAGCGCATAATTTTTTATGTGCTATATATATATTTTTCTACTTAAAATCTAAATTTTTTTAAACGTCTTTTAACGACATATTTCTAAGGTTTTTAGGACGTCTAAAGTAGGTCTTAGGAACGTCAATAATTCGTCTAAATATGGAAGTCCTAATAAATTCTTGTTGCAGACGTAACTAGGACGTCCTAATAAAGATGTCTTCACCGGACGGCTTATTTTGGTCTGAGACGTCGCGACCTAATAAAGACGCCCGTAGGACGTCTGATTGACGTCTGTGCCCGCTGAGTGATTTTGCTTTTAAACAAAAGAAAAAGTTGAAAAATAAAAGAGAATAAAATAATTATTAAAAACAAAATAGAATTTGAGAGGTCATAATCAAGTAACTGTTTTTTTAAGATTTGAAGAACTTTTAAAAAGTTTGAATTGAAATTGTAGTTTTACTATTATTTGGGAGAAATGAGTTCCACAAATGTGGCCCTCGGTAAGTTATTAAGAATCTGGATTGTTTTAACAAAACTTTTGTTATGTGATAGTTAAGCAATGAATGCTTGTTATTTATGATCTATAATAAAAAAAAGGTCTTTAAATATGAAATTTTAATTTAAACATGCATATTTTTTTATATATGCACATTATATAACCATATGATATTTAAATCTAAACTTGAGTAAAAGCTATTAGATCCAAGCCTCCTTCCCCCCCCCCCCCCATCCGAAAAAAAAACTTGTCCACAAATTCTTAAAAGTTTTTTCAATAGGTATTGGTAAATTAAAAAAAAATTAATAATACATTTGCAAAAGGGCCCCTAAATTTTTAACCAAAACATTTTTTTTTTTTTTTTTTTTGGCAATTTCAAAACAGTTATCACCTTCATTAGGTAAAACAAAATACTCTAAGCCTTGATAATTTTCAAACTGTAAACAGTTCCTCAATTCAATGGTTACTGACCCATCAAAATGAGGAATACGAAACTTCTGTTTATCTCCTTGTACGTATTTATTTAAGCAACCCTGCAGTCTTTAAACAAGCTTTTTCAATTGACAAAAAAAAATCATATATAAATGAGGGAATCATCTTGTATTTGTAGTTGATCCTCACTATAAAGTTTACCAAATGACTGCACAAAATAAGTTAGTAACTGACATGCAAAATCAACATATTTTTTCACAAAAATAAGACATAATAAAATTAGAACTGCAACTGAAAGATCTAAAAAGTTTGAATAGATTTTTGGCTCAATCAACCCCTTTAAAACAACTGGCCCAGTTTATATTAGAAAAAATCTTAGTTTAGTTGCTTTCCATTTTTTAATATCTAATAGAGACCTTGGTTTTCTGAAAAATTCTTTTGGAATGTAACAACGTATCTGTAACAATAGGTCAGATAAATTATTGACTGTAGTCTGAGATAATTTACAACATTTGTGCCATTTAAACCTAAGTTGAAGAATCTTTGCATTTCGCCTAAGCATAATATATGCATAAAGTCTAAAAGAAACTTCGTCACCATTTCAAAATTTAATTCAATTAAACACGCAAATAAACACACATTTAATTCAATTTAACACACCACTAAGATTTTCAGATTGCATTTTATGAAAAAAATTCAAATCAGTCCTTAAAACTGATGATATATCTGGGAGTATTATATTGCCACACCTCTCTCCTTTCTGAACGCAACGCTGACATCAGTTATAATAATTGTGTCCCTTAATATACTTAACAAATGCTCTAGATAGAGCATCACATATAATAACAGCAAAATTGATTTTGTACTCAATATTTTCATAGATAAAACCATCTTTTGCAAGATAATCAAAAATGGAATTAGATTTTTGGGCACTTTTAAAACAAGTTTCTAAAAATCCATTATAGGTCCCCCAAAAAAACTCTGACAGGAACTTTTATAAACAGCAACAACTTTTGGCAAATATTCTTTAAAATTTTTTACATGTTTGTTTAAATTGTGTCACTATTTTTGATTTTCATTGAATAATTTCTTACATTCTTTTTTTTATAATATATTTATGGAGTATTACTCTATTTTACTATCAGCTATCAAGCTGATTAAATTGACTTGATCACTTTCAGCTTTAATCTAAAGCTGATGAGTTTAAAGCTGAAGCTGAAATACCAGCTGCGATTCCTACTTTATAGACAACATAGTTGTTTTGATGTATATACTTTATCATAATACAAGTGTTTGTTTTTTATACTTAATACTTATTTTTTTATTCTATAATACATTTTTTAAATTAACATTTAAATACTTAAGAAAATATTGACTTTTGCCCAATATTCTTTAGATAAAATAAAAATTTTTTTGCATTACTCTAATTGTTGGTAAGCAGGAGTGTAGAGTCGTAAAAAGTACCAACTCGGACTCCGACTCCAATCGTTGAAATTTTCAGAGTACAACTTCGACTCCAACTCCGACTCCAAAGCAAAATTTTTGTAAAATTTTTTGAATTCTTAAAAAAATATTATGCAATAGTTAAAAAATTTTTTTTTGCCAAATTAATGAAAAATATTTTGAAGGTTAAATATTTTGTACATGCACCTGCAATACCGAGAAGTTTTACTATTGGAGTCGGAGTTGCAATTTTGTTTAGCGACTCCGTCTCCGCAAAAAATGTCGCAACTCTGACTTCACGACTCTGACTCCACAGGACTGGTGGTAATAAACAAAGGTAATATTTACTCTAATTATTGTATTTATCTTCAAAGTTCATGCAATTCTGTCATAGATAAGTCTCTTACTAATAGTATTAAATATAAATTATTACCATTATTATTATAATTATATTTACTAACCTTGTCATTACTAATATTTATCAAAAATACATTCTGGCTGTTGAAGTATCTTTTACTCATATCAGTTTGCAAATATTGTCAACAGTCATTGTGCACCAAGCAGAAATATTCTTAAACATGCTGCAAAATACAAGATATATACAAGATACAATCACATGGGACATATTTGTGTTCCTTTAAATTGCAACTTAATATTTTTAAATTATTTAATAGAATTTAATAAAAAGAATTATTTAATAAAAACTTAACAATTTATCCCAACATTTTAAAATTAAGTTGCGGAAAACAAAAACGGTTAACTTAATATAACTCAGGTATAATAAATAAGCATATCGACATGATCTATGCAACATCTTTTATCTTCTTTAGTTATTGTTATTCATGTTAAAGTTATCAAGTTAAATTAAAGTTTTATAATTAAAGTTTGAATTTATAAATATTTGAAATATTTTATCAGTTTTGTAAAGTAAGTATTATAAGTATTTATAAGTATTCATACTATGCAATACTTAGTATTGTAAGTATAACTTATTATTATGTATATTGTGATATTATTGTTGATATTACAAGCATACAATTTAAACCAAAGCCAAAAAAATATCACTGATTTAAAAAAACAGTTGATGCATAACAATGAAGTCATTTTTGCATTTATTTGAAAACACTTGATATTTATATCTATCAGTGGGTAAACTTTGTTAACGTCAGTTACTTTGCTTGAATAAGATATAAAAAAATTAACGGAAAAGAGTGAATCTGTAAAAACAATTTAAAAGCTTTAAATTCCATAAAGACAACCTATCCATCACAACATTCGCCTGTTTGCTTTTCTTAAAAGTTTCTGACTAAACCAATTTTTTGAGCAACTTCAAAGCAGTTATTACCATCACTAGCAGAAAAACTCTAAATTTTGATCATTTTAAAAATGCAAACAGTGTCTCAATAGAATAGTTACTATTGTTTAATAGTTACTGGAACATATGTTAAACATATATGTTAAACTTTGTAAATTTAATAAAAATAAATAAAAAAATTCTTTTATAATGGTAATAAATAAATTTATTTATGTTTACTTTTACATTTACATATGTATACATACTTTATACATTTACATTTTAATGAAAGAGAAATTGTTTTTTCGGTGTATTTTTTAACTGTAAAACTCCGTCAAATAGTTGTTGTTTTAGAATTTCATTTATAAATGAAATTTTAAAACAACAACTTTTTTATGGAGTTTCACAATTAAAAAATACACTAAAAAAACAATTTCTCTTTAATTAAAATATAATTGTATACAGTATGTATACATACGTAAATGTAAAAGTATACGAAAAATATAATGCATAAAAATTAAATTTTCAAATTTATTCTTCGCATATTACAAATTATAAATGGTAAACATCGAGTAAGTTTTGTGATGATTTTTTTAATTATCATTTTAAACATTTTGGGAACCTTATGGGAAACCTGTCCAATCCCTAGATTTTTGTCAGACTCTTCGGCCCTCATAAAAACTAAGTTAAACCAAATCAAGTAAATTTGTTTAAATTTTTTACCATGCGGGACCAGTCCGGAAACCAAACAATTACCCATCGAAATCCCGTTCCCGTAAGCCCAGACAAAAACCATATGGTACCCGTTTTTCAATGTTGGCTGGGTTTCGTCTTTCAGTTTTAGACAAAGAAAATAAAATTAAA